AAGAGAGAGAGTAAAAGGCCTCATCTACTTTTTATCTCTCTTTACAAATCAATACTCCTGTTGGATATTCTCTTTGACTTATTCAACAGAATCTGTTGCATCCTTTTTTTTATACAGAATTCAAAATAATTTGTTTTTGGTGTGTGCATTTGTGTGTGCGTGTGTGGTGTGGTGGTGTGTTGTGTGTGTGTGTGTCGTGCTGCTGCTTCACGCTCCCAGGGTCTCCATAGCTCTCAGGTTTTTAAAGGGGGGGGGGGGGGGGGGGGGGGGGGGGGGTGTTAGTGTGTGCTTACCTGTGCTTCACGTTTACATATGCGTTTGTCCCTTCAGACGCCCTCAGTCTCAGCCGTCGATCCACAGACCTACATACACACACAAACACACCACCACCCACACACACAAACACACACACATATACACAGAGAGAGAGAAATATAAGTCAGCCGGTTTGACATGTCAAAGGTTATCAATATGTTCCAGAGTGTAAAAGGTCATCAAACTGTCCACATCAACATCCCATCAGTGTAGAATCAGACGGGAATGAATGAATGAATAAATGAATGAATAAGTGAATGAACTGACACACCGTCGAGAGGCAGAATATCAGACTGACCAAATATATAGAAAAAAGGAGGTTAAGTTGTGAGATTGCATGTTTTTGCTTGGAGAGAAATCACTCGTCACAAGAAGCTCGTTTTTTGCAGCCCGCTGACTTGGCATCCACACATCAGTTTCTGTTCAGTTTCCTGTAAACTCACCACAAAGCCATAAACGACAGGGACGCAAGGACAAAAAAAAAGGAGGGTGAGAAGTCTAATAAACCTTTAAATGCAGCTGGAGTATTATGGGAAGCACCAGCCAAAAGAGGCTGATGGGGCAAACTGAAGTTACCTTCCTGCCCCAGGTAGGAGCATCCTGGTCAGGTTTGGGTCAGATAGCATTTAAAATCCTTTTTTTTTTTTTTTAATCCTTTCAAATAGGAATGCTGTTTCAATATCACTGCTACTGTATGAAAACCTTGTTCATTTCAGTTCTGGTGTTTTTGATTCTTTGAGTTAGTTAGAGTCCAGCTGAAATTTCTGCTACAGCATACACATCTTCTCTGTTAATGTCCTGTGTGAAAACATCAGGCACCAAACGGGGAGAAACATATATTTTATTTGTTTTATTTCATGATGGCGGCTCCTTTATGTTTGCATCAGTTCACTGGAATACTGTTTATGGTTAAATCGATGGAAACTTGTTTCCCATATGCCAGTCAAGGTGCTTCAACCACATCGGTTAGTAAGCAGTAACATCAGCGCTCTGTTACAGGGAAGCGGCTGTACGTTGCTTATTAATGGAGGCGGGGAAGTTAAGGTCGTTTCTCTTATAAAACCGAAAAATATAGTTTGAAACCATTCTGGTAAGTATAAATCTCATATTTCTAGTGCGGCGTCTTCTTCACCACATTAGGCTCGTTAGAGGCCGCTGTGGCTGTTTTTCCCAACAGCCACAAGGGGCAACAATGAGCTCTTTCCACACTTAAAAACAAAGCGATGCAAAGCTGAAATTGATGCTTTATCAGAGGTGTTTTTGAAACTGTGTTTTTAGGTTTTACAACAGAAAATACTTAAAGGATGATGAGAATGAGCTCTGTTACAGTGCACAGCCTCTTCCCTGAGCTTTTCTACAGGGCCGTCTGGAGCTCCGATGCAGAGGATGAGACGGGTTTGTGTACTTTGTCTCTCATTCTGCTGTCAGTAGTAGAGCCGAGCCTGCCAGCTGCTGTCAATCAAACACAGACACACCCCTCCAGCCGCTTAGATGAAAATAAATATTTTTCTTTCTTTCTTTTAATATTAAAAAACAGTTGACAATAAATATTTTTTTAAAACACGGACATTATTTTTGACTAAAGGAAGGAATGACTAAATGTGATTTCAGTTGGACTTTAAAAATAAAAGTTTACATCTTCCTCTATGAGCAGGTTATTTCCATGGCTGTAGATCCCAAGAATCCAATTCAGAATTTGTTTTATATTTTCAGAAGTCTATATACGCTAGGTTAATCATTTTATCTGTTTCTTAAAAAGTGTAATATTGAAGTTATGACAGTATTCTTATATCTGGCTGATCCTGGTTTTCTAGGTTGTACCTTATTCAGGATTTTAAATTCTGTCCTGACCTGTTGGTCTGGTTTGTGTTTATCATAAAACATGTCTTGAGAACTGTAACTTTCTTTAATCTTGTTTTATTTCAACACACTTTATGCATCTAAACTAGGTGTGAATGCCAGATCAATGCAATCATTTACTTGCATGTTGGACACAACAAACAAAGACAGAGTTAAAAGAGGTGAATTTTTGAATGAGCAAACCTTCCACATGTAAAGTGACACAGTACAGTCCACCGCTGTTGGATTATAAATCTAACAGCTAATAAACTGACACACTTTGTTACTGTAGACACACACAGGACAAAACATGCAGGGTACAGCTAACTCGCTAACAGATTTGAGCCATTTGAAATTGTAGTTCACACAGTAGAAACCTCCAGATATGTGAACGTCAGCATGGTTAACACCATGACGGACTCGAGTACAAAACAAATGTTCGGATTTGGTTTAAAGAATCTCAACATTAATGGTTTCGGATGAGCTCATGGGTACCCTGCCTGTCCGTGTGTGTGTGTCTGCGCTGTTCTGTTCACATCAACCTCAGTCTGTCAGCCGAGATGAAATGACGAATAAAATACCTTTTGGTTTATCATTCATCTATTTATAGTCAGTGTTTTTTTTTTCTCTCATTGGAAATGAATGTAGAACTTTGTTGGATGCAGATCTGTGTTTGCTTTGAAAACAACGTGTAGATCACAAGATAATAAATATCTACATTGAACCAGAAATAACAGAAAATCAGTTAGACGTTGATGGTTAGAAAGAAGGTGAAATCTTATCACTTATACTTCCTCAGCACTTCAATCTGATACTATTCATTCATTCAGAGTTTCGGTCGTTGACATGTTGCCTCTTGTACACCAAAACCACACAGTAGTATGCAGTAATATGTGATACATGAGTATAATCTATGAGGTTTGTTTAGGATTTAATATTGTGAATGTTAATGATGATGATGATGATGATGATGATGATGTCCATGGTAGCACTGAACTGAGACTTTATGCAACTTTTTCTTTGCACTAGGGACACTTGCCTGTTGCAGAGTTGAGGCCTGATGGTCAGTGGTGTTTGGGATCCAGCAGAAGGACGTCAGAGCCAGAAAACGTATCACGTTAGGTAGAAGAAAGTTTTGTTCAAAGCTGATCAGTTGATTTTAACTTGTTTTTTTAATCCTTCTGCTCTTCACAGTTCACAGTCAATTAATTGATTGGTTGAGCAACAGAAATTTTATCAGCAACAGAAATTTTATCAGCAACTATTTTGATCATTACATAAGCCTTCAGAGGCAAGTGAGAAAAAAAAAAGTCTGGTGAATCATTTTCTAAATTGTTTTCTCTCCTGTGTTTATGATTTTTTTATTATATCCACAATATATAAAGATAATATTTAGGTGGACTCAAAGTGTTTTATTCCAGGTGAGTTTTCATTTCTTTATGCACTCTAAAAATAAGTTACTTGTGGGTCAGAAAGTGCTCCATAACCTGCTTTTCCGATTTAGAACGTTGGGTAGTCGTGCACTTCAGTCCCTTGTGATCAAAACGAGTATTACAACAACAAAAATATTCATCGATTGTTTTCACAAATAAGAAATTAAATTTAAGGAACTTTTTTCACCTGTTTTTAAACTCACAAACACAGGACAAAAAACTATTTAAATCTGACTTTGAAAATTAATCACCAGACTCTTTAACTTAACTCTCACAATTTCCGTAGTTGACCGATTCATTGTTCAAGTTGATTTTTTTTCAACTAAAAACTAATTGTGAATATTTGCTGCTTTTTTTGTCTGTTTTATAACATAAAAACGGAATATCTTTGGTTTTTGGACAGCTGGTCGGACAAAACATGACAATAGAAGACCTTGGTCTCCATGAAATTGTGATGGGGATTTTCATTGTTTTCTAATGTTTTATCAAGTAAATGATTAATCGAAAACGTTGTTAGTTGCAGCTCTAATTCAGGCTTAATGTCGAACTTGAGTACTGTAAAGAACAGCTGTAAGAAACTTAGTAAGTAGTAAGACACACTATGCTATTTTACGTACAGCATATGTTGATATTTTGTTTAAAATACATCATCTTCTGTTTTATGTTACCAGGAGGGGCCAGCTCCCATCACGCTTCATCATTCTCCAACTAGCCTGCTGCTTGTTTCTAAGTATAATTTACGTTTTTTCTTGTTTGTATGTTTCTTAGCCCTTTTCCGCCAGTATGATGAAAAAAAAGATCCTGTAAGTCATTATAATGAGAAACTTTCCTAGAATAATGCTATTTTCACCTGGGCCGACCATCACAGTCACATGCTCTGCATAAGCTACATTTTATGTGATACACGATACCACAATTCGAACATTTGTCATTAATTTGAGAAAGTTTCTCATTATAATAACTTCATCACATTAACAGAAATGTGTTTCCATATTCTGAGGACAATCAACCAGTAAATTCAACCAGACTTTAATAAGAACTTGTGCAGTTCAGTCAAAAGGTGAGTGACGACTCTTGAGACGTGATGTTTTATTCTTTGAACTAAAAATCTTTCATTTCAGTTCATTATTAGTTACCTGTGAATCTCATTATTCAATGGTAACACTGACTATTGGGTGGACTGCATGCTCTACTTACTGAACATTGTGGGAGTGAATATTAGAGCCTCTGTCTTTTTGTTTCTTCTAACACAAATCTTGATGAAACTGCACAGGATTACAGAAACACATGGACTCTCTTCTTTAACACAAAGAAAGCACAAACATTTTTTACAATTAAACTAATGAACACTCGTTAGTTTCTGTTCATCTCTTCCCATTTGCAGCCATCTTGACTATCATATCCATCCACAGCTTTACACTTAATGAGGCTCCATGTGTCGAGAAAAATGTGGAGCCTTGCAAACTTCATGATTTAACTACTTTATGCTCTTGTCATCTTTTTTTTCCAGATAATTTTAGCAACACACAAACACCAAATAAAGCCAGATAGTCTTAGTAAATTATTTGTAGTGTTTGTTTTATTTTTTTTGGAGAGTTTGCCACTTTAGGATGATTCAAGCAACATCAGTAGAGTAAGTTCTGACATCAACTTCCACCTGAACTCATCTTCCTGCAGGAAACACACCCCTCATGTTTTCCCTGCAGATTCAATTATTTCCAAATGTTATTTCAGTTAAAGTTTGGACAGCAGCCTGAGATAATCCAGTGCTGACGATTGAATACTGAATAATTGCTGCCATAGTTTCTCTCCTTCCAGGACCCCAGAGCACCACTGTCTATCTGCCCTCAGTCTGTCTGTCTCTCTGTATGCCTGCCAAAAGCAACCTAATGTACAAATGTATTTGCTCTTGAAGCATTTTCTGTAAAAACAAACAAGAAAGTAAGTTTATCCGTGGTGACACTGAGAAAACTGCCCCTTGTCTTTGTTATGTTTAAACCTTTTTGAGTCTGTTTTGAAGCCAGGTTGAAAACGAATCCCACCTCCTCCACACAAACACATCAGGAAAAAGAGGTTGCATGAATGATATAGTCTCTATTATGGTACTGCTGTGCATGTCTTGAAGTCCCATTCCTCCACTATGCAATCACTGTAACATACCAACACGAACTACCAACATTGAAAAAGGGTGAATGAATGAACCACTGATGTATAAAATGGTCAGAACCAACTGCGAATCACTGGCTCTGTACAGTCGTTTCTTTGACTTGATAAATACAAATTGTGATATTGAAAAATAATGTTTGTGTGTGTCTTTTTATTAAGCAGATAAGTCAGAGTCAGCATAATGAATATAAAGGGGCTATTATTTAAAGTTGAGTTACTTTTATTATCTAATGTTGCATGCAGTGTGTCAATGGGCCCACATCAGTAGCCAGGGCAAAGGAAAGAAACTATAATATCCTTTAAAAACACACATTTTCTCTGTTTGTTTGGACTAAATTTGACCAATGATGAGCTCCTCTACACTCATTTTGGAGTTCATGACTTAAACAGTTGAGACACAAAACATGGCTATTTTTATAATAAAGTTAACTCTACTACCTTTAGTATACGTACAGCTTTAAAATTAAGAAAACATTTAAGTATACAATGCCCAGAATACCACTCTCCAATGCCACCATAAGTAGACTGGATGCACACTTTTTTACACGTTTGCACAAGTTACTGAGTTATTCTGACCTGTGCTTTTAAGGATACTGGGAGCATATGGAAGTAAAACTGTCCCAGTTAAATCACAAGTCCTAATAATAGTCTGAATTCCACAGGAACAGATTGTACAGTGGATCATCAGTGTTAAACCTTATTTCCTGCGTTTGATCCCCAGCCCTGGTTTATCTTTGTGTGTTGAAGGTGTTTTTCATCTCTTGACTGCAATGAGCAGATACAGACAGGAATGTTTAGGATTAGGGTTGTTAGGTAATTATTAATGATGTTTGACCTTCACTGTGCAGAATGATGTATGTATATGCAGTAAGAGTTTCACACTTTTCAGTTAAGTGGAGTATGGAGGAAAGCTTTTTTTGCATATTCATTAATTTTCAATAAGAATGAAGGAATATTAAGAGATGTCATTTTAAGAAACAGACACAAATTATTATTCAAAGCAGAGCATTTTTTATGTCTGGTGTCTGAAGAGGATCTTTAACTTGAAACGTACAACACGTGTACAGAATGACATGACAATAAATGAGTTTAAATAGTATTACATTCCCATCAAATTTATTTCAGTAGAAAAAAGGCTGTATTAGTGTAGGCAGTTTCTTAAAAACACACTTGAGAGTCAGCTAGATTACACTCACAAATCAGCTATATGCTACTCCAGAACATATATTTTAACCCCACTATTTTAATGGGTAATTAATGTTTCCTTTTTGACAATATATCGCTTGTTATTGCATATAGCTTTTAGTAGCGTGTCCGGAGCTTTTATTTTGAAAAGACAACGTGACATCGGAAGCGGATGTGGAACACGGACCCTTTAGAGGAACGCACAGGCCGCCATGTAGGACAGACTTGACTGTTTACGCGGAAGAAAGATTATCGTTGAGTCTAAAAGCTGTCCGGCTCCGTCTCAAGTCACTACTTCAGGTTTGAAAATGCGTTACGAGCTGGCGAACACGGCGGGCTGAGTTTTTAACCAGAGCGAAGAAACATGGAGGCGAGGTTCGGCAGCGAAGTCGCGTCTGTCGTGGAAGTCGCTATCCAGGCGACCGTGTCTGTTTTCAGGGATGTCTGGGCGAAAGAAGCGCCAAACGCGGAGTGGGAAGAGGCGAAGCTCGGCGAAATCCAGGACATAGAGAAGTGCCTGGTGGTTCAGATCCACAAGGTGTTCACGGAGTTCTCCTCGGAGCTGTTCGAGGAGAACGAAGCTCTGCGGGCCAAAGTGGAGCAGCTGGAGGACGTGCTGCAGAGGAAAGCCGGGCAGCTGGAGCAGGAGCTGGAGGCCAGAGTGGGGCAGCTGGGCAGAGACATGGAGCTGCTGGAGAAGGAGCTGAAGAGCATCAGTGGTGAGGGAGGCCCGACTCACATCCTGCTGCAGGAGGGCTCACTGATAGGTGATCAATCAATCAATCAATCAGTCAGTCAGTCAGTCAGTCAGTGTGATTACCACATCAGAACTCATCAGTCAGGTTGAGTTTGAGAACATAAACTGGGAGGTAAAGTGAGGATTTGTGGCTCAACAAAGGCATGGAGTTTATCTGTAATCTGCTAATGAGAGGCTTTCAGTTAATGCTGCAACTAACGGTAATAACATTATCGATTAGTATGCCAATTATGGATTAATGGGGATCGATTGATTAGTCTACACTAGAGATATTTAATTACAGTGATAGTCAACAGAGAAACTCTGCAGATCTGCACATTTGAGAAGTGAATCTTTGGTAGTTTTGCTCCTCACAGTATTACATATGTGTGCTATCTTAAGATATACAGTAAGTAGAGTTTGTTTCTGTCCCAGTTTATCAATTTAAACATGGATAAATCCTTTGTTTCATGAGCCAAGTGATTAATTAATGACACAAAGTTGATATGATATTTCATCTGTGTGTCGCAGGAGCACCAGTGTTGTCTGCCTCCACCAGTCCTGCTGCCCCTCTGGTTGCTGCGGATGAATCCACCTCCGACTCTCCTCCAGTTTCAGGAGGAAGCACAGATCCCGGCTCCACAGCTGTGTCCGCGACTGCCCCTAAACCTGCGGTAGCCCCGATGGTGTTTGTCGACAGAGTCAGCTCTGCTCCCACGGTGCTGCTGGTGGGTGCCAGCCAAGTCGTTTCTCAGCCCCCGGCGACGGCTGGATCTGAGACGACGGGAGCAACGCAGCTCATCCTCAAACCGGCAGCCTCGCCGGGGTCTACGCCTCAAGACGTCCCCAGTCCAGACTCCAGCACCGTCAGTGGTATCGACCCAACACAGGAAAAGGTTGGTTGTCTCCGTGCTGTCTGAGCTTTAACTCTGAAGATTTGTCTGGAAGCAACAATTTCCTGTGCTGTTGTTGTTTTAAAAATAAGATGATACTGGTTTGGACCTGGCAAAGTGCCTGTATACTTGTCAGCTGCATCTCAGTGGTTTTATTTCCCACCCTGGTGGAGATACTGTACGCACTTTAAGTGTAGTGCCGCTGTCTTTAAGCAACAGAGTCAGGAATTATTCTCAAATGTTTCCAGTTTCCTGTTTCCACATAAACAGGGATGTAATCCTTAGGAATTAAACCTTTCACTGTTGGGGTGCTGATTGTAATTGTGTGCAACCAACTTTTTAATTTTTAAATAATTTTTTCTTTCCTTTTGCATCACAGAAGTCCGCAGAAGAGGCACCTTCAGGAAGAACGAGGAGGACCAGGAGAGCAACCTCTAAAAGTGAAGAAGGTACGATTAACTTTCAGACT